ATTTATTTTATTATTCCGAGACTCGTTTTTTATTAATTTGAGCTTTAGAAAATAATATTTTTTACTACTAATAATATTTTTTTATTTGTAATAAACATCAGATAAATGTTTTTTTAATCATATTTTAAATAAATAAATAACAAAATAAACATTTATTAAACGTCATATAAACGTTTAAAAAAGATTTAATAAACATTAATAAATGTTTCTTTAAACCATTAATTATTTCAAAGAAATAATTAATGTAAATTGAACATTTACTAAACGTTAAATAAACGTGAAATAAATGTTTGTTATTACCATATTTTAAATGAATATATAATGTAAAATAAACATTTTATAAACGTTAAACAAACGTTAAAAATTTAAAAAATATTTCTTTGAACCTTTATTGAAATGAATAATTAATGTAAGATAAATATTAAATAAACGTTTAAAAAATGTTTTTTTAATAATCATTTATTTCAAATGAAAAATTATATGTAAAATAATGTTTAATAAACATTAAATAAACATTAAATTAATAAATTTTAAAAACGAATCGTGAAAAATGTAAAATGAGAAATAAACGTTTAAAAAACATTTAAAAAACATTGTCTGCTGATTGGGAAGATATGTCAAAACAAATACGTATATATCAAAAATTATTATGACTTCTTGGACTAAAATTGAAAAAAAATTGCAGCAATATTATGTTGTGATATATCGCAATGTAACATCTCAATATTAATATTGTATTACAAGTTATTATTGCAATATTGTAATCTCACTGCAATATTATAGCAATATTATATGCTGTGGGAGATCATATACAATATATTATAATATTGCTTATGTTGCTGGAAAGTATCCGTGTACATCAGTTATGTATATCATTTATATATCATTTTTAATTTAAAATAATAATGACTTTGGCAAAAACTTCTTGCGTTTGTGGCTGTATGCTCTTTCCAATTTATGTTTTATATATCATTTATATATGATTTATATTAGTTATGTTAATTTATGATAGTATTTATTTTAATATTATTAATATTTCTTGGAAATTTCTTTCGGTTTAAGTATTATTGTTGTTGTAATGTCATATTTATACAGCTTTTTAACATCAACTCTCAATAACTTGTTTTCGATCATGGTTTTGTATTTGTTCTAGCAATGAAACAAATAGCTGTTCATTGACGGCCTTATGTATACACACGATGTCATAAAATTTTTTTAGGATGTGATGTCGAACTCCACTATTTGTTTTATTAAAATTTACTATCAAATATTGACAATGTGCTTTGAAAGACAGTGTCGGCAGTGTGCCGACAGAGGATTAATATACTAGCTTAAATGTAAGTGCAATTCAAGACAATATTGTTAAATCTTAGCTTTTCTTATTTCGCTGTGAAATAAAAGAAAAGATCTCATAGATTGTAGAAAAGTACTATTGAGCACTATTGTACTATTGCACTACAGCATTACTGTACTACTACACTACTGTAGTAATGCAGAAGTGTAATGCTAAAGTGTAATATAGCAGTAATGCTAAGATCTTCTATACCCTCATTTCGGCAAGATACAAAATGCAGGAAACGAGTATGCATAACAGAAACTAACTATTAATAACTATTTAAAACTATTAATAACTATTTAAAAAAAAGTGCTTTCAGAAACTCTACGAGCACGCTTTGATTGAACTGAGAGTAAGTGACAGATTTTATTTACATAAGCCTTTTTATAGAAATTCGCGTCATTTTCTCCTTACGAAAAACGAGTCTATTTTGCGGCGATACTGCGTATTATGCCGCTTGCTTGGTGGCGCCTTAGCGTACGTATACTGCAAGGATCCTTATAAAGAGAAATCCATTATTTTTGCATGAAATTGAATGGAAAAATAATAGATTTTTTTTTTACTACACCTAATATAAATGAAATTCGTCACTTACTCTCAGCTCCATCAGAGCTCTTTCACTTATCAGAGTAGAATCTCTGAAAGCATCTTTTTTAAACATTATTAATAGTTAGTTTCTGTAATGCATACATGTTTCCTGCATTTTTTTTGCCGAAATGCAGATATATAAGATCTTAGCACTATTCAGCACTACTGAACTACTACACTACTGTAGTAGTATAGTAATGCTGTAGCACAATAGTGCCTCAAAATACTCCTAGTGCTCAGTAGTACTTTTCTACAAAGAACATGTGTTTAAATATTAAATATTATATATTAT